TCTCTCTCTCTCTCTCTCTCTCTCTCTCTCTCTCTCTCTCTCTCTCTCTCTCTCTCTCTCTCTTTTTGAATGATGATGCGTCTGAATGAATGCCCCTCTCTTGAGTATGAATGAGTTGGCATCCTGCTTCTGTGTGAAAAAACTTCTTCCGGAACTCTTCCATTAGTTTCCTGGGTAATCCCCTTATGCAAGGACCCCGTCTACTTGTCTTGCGAACGGTGAATGCGTGTGTATTGTGCAATACGATCCATCTTTTCCTGTGCATGTCTCATTTTCGCACCTTCCAAAGCGAATGCATGTATAGAGATGCGTGACTTTTTTTTTTGATTTGGTTAGACGAGTGTCGTCGGGATTTTGTTCGAGAATGCAAGAGTGTTTAGATCTGTAGCTCTGTTTGCACTACGCATGCCATCTGCCTTATAATGCACGACATCAACAGCCGAGCCACGAGGCGGCCCTGAGAAACAAGGCGCCCAGGGACCAACGTTGTGTTGAACTGATCGGACCCGTAGCCATACTGATCTGTGATTGCTTTCTCTCTCTTGTGTCAAAAARATTGATTGGGGGGAMGMGCGAATCGCTTYTGTTCTTAATGAYGTCTCAGGATATTTTGTGATTGATTGACATGTGGACTGACAAGTACCCTTCGATTGGGCGCCAGCCTCCCGTATCTCCCATCCCAACGCGACCTTTTCCTTACAGTGAGGAAAGGACACGTGTATGTGAGTGGGACGTACGAGAAGCCGTTGCACAAATCGGCGGGCAGTATTACTTCCCTCCGGCCAACTGTTGTTCGGGGTTCGTAGAAGCCGGGTTTGTTATTATCGATACGCACTTCCCACCTTACTCGGTATTGATGCCATTTAACGAGTTAATCGTCATTCCGTGGACGATAGTAGAACCCCACTGGCCGCGCACTCTGTGCACCGAATGTCAGCGTTTTGAGCGCTACGAGTCCAGGGGTTTCCACTACTGTGTGCGGAGTAAAGACGAGCATAAAGAAAGAGCCACGCGACTGAGACCCTCCACGTCAGACTCGGAACTAACCGGCGAACGACGACGGAATTTGATACGAAAACGAGACACGCGAAGCGTGCCCAAGCCTTTCTGTTCTAAAGGACGGGTTGTAGCCCGGTGGGAGGCACGACAATACTTTTTGGATTGAATTTGGATCCTTCTCTCTCGCGCGCGCATTTCGCGACGCACGAATCGATCGACTTGCTCCATCGGACCAACACGGGGGATTTCAGTTCCGTCTGTGTCCCGACACTCAATTTCCAAAAATCCTTGGCACACCCCATCTTGCTGTTTTTCTGGGCCTCTTGTCCGCACAACTAACACTCCGAACGGAAGACAGCACAGGGTGTGAGGTTGGTATCGGAGCCGACACGTGTCGGTTCTGATGATAGTAAGTCGAACTGGCGAGAGGTAGGAGAGACCATGAACTAGCTCGTCGAGATCGCCCCGTAACCAGGTCTCAGTCTAGTGTGGCTACACCAACAATACCAATGGTGGACGGTACTAGGGTGATCGTTAGCATCCCTGCCCCCTTTCTCTTCTTCCCTAACCATACCCATCCCGAGGCTTGGTTGGAAGCTGTCGAAGCTTAAAACTACAGCGCAACCGATCTTCCTCGTGTTCTAACATTGCTACTCCGCAATACATCGCACGACTAGTTCAGAAAGCATACATGGGTAGATTGGGAGACTTTTAAGCGTGCATTCTTGGCTCGATTCGACACGGTTAGCGAAGATGTCACTTGGTATGTGCTAAAAAATCGACCCCAAGGACCAGGGGAACTGTTACCCGATTTCGTTGATCGATTTCAAACCACATTGGATAAATCCGGGCGAGACGAGAAATATGCTCGAGATTTGTTTATTGATCACCTTCGAAGTTCGACCTTGAAAGGGAAGCTGCAGAAAAAGGTTCCGCCGAAAACAACCCAGTTATCGGCTATCATCACTAAAGCGTTGGAGCTAGACTTGGTTGATACAAAAAAACATATCAGCCAGGGAGACGAGGATATTACAGATACCATCCGGGATGTAACGGCCAAAAGGTGATCATGGCTACAGGCGGTCGAACGGTTTTATCCCCGCCCCAACCATGACCTTCCCGGCGGAATCGTGTCCGACATCCCGGCTGGTTCTCCTCCCTCTCCCCCGGTGAATCAATCAATCGCAGCCGTTAGAAGCGGAACCCCATCCGAACCCCCCTCGCCAGCCATAACCAATTTGCATCTTGCCCAGATGATCCATACGGCCACTACTAAGCAGTCCGAATGGATGAGTAAACTGATCCAAATTCAGGCGGCTCACATGGAACGGATGGAGCAGATAATGAGCCGGCTCATTAAGCCTAACCCGGCTCCTGCCCGACCTACCCCTGCACCGTTTCCGCTCTTACCTGCTCCACCTGCTCCAGGATTCGCCCCTCAGTTTCCCCATCTAGCTAATCCGGTAGGAAAGATCGAGTGTTTCAACTGCAAACAGCCCGGGCATTTTGCCCGAGACTGTCCGCAGCCGAAACGTAATCAGCCTCCCCCTGCTGCGGCCCCCGTCGCCCTTAATCAAGGACGAATGGCCGCTCTGATGGACACGGACCCGGGAAGAGAATTCGTGGCATACGCCCCGGAGCAGCCTTCCCCTTTGACGACAATGGCGTCGACATCAGGAGCTTCTTCCTCTGACGCTGCTGACGTGGTCGATCCCCTCGAGTATCTCCATCTTGCCGGAATGATCGGAGCGATCCGATCAGCCCAAGGCGATCTCGAATGGGTCGATCGCGACTCCAATCCTGGACCACAGTTTCGGACAGGGGATATTGATGTACTGAAAACGCTCAAGCAATTAGATATTCGCGTTCCTATCCCAGTAGGACATCTGCTCACCATATCTGAAGTAGCGAACGACAAACTTTTACAACACTGCCAGAAAAATCAAAAGCGCTTCACCTATCAGCGCATACAACGGATGATGAAGAAGAAGGAGGAAGGTGAGGAAGTTGCGCCTCTTGAGCTAGACACAAAAGAACCTGAACCCGAAGCCGCACGTATAGCAGCGATCTCGTTAGCAGAAAAGGACCACTTCGTACGAGCTCGACCGGTACTATGGAAAAGTGCGGAATATGACTGTGAAATTTGGGGTAAGCCGTTTAACGCCCTTATCGACACAGGGTCTTCTGCAGTGGCCATATCGTTACATACTGTCAAAAAGACGGGACAACTTGGATCCCTTCTTCCCCAATCTAGCAAAGACAACTATGTCTCTTCCGACGAGGAAGAAATGAACATCGTAGGCGTTATCGAGAACGTAGTTGTAAAAGTGGGACGAGTACACGTCCTTGTTAACGCGCTTGTAATAGATGTACGTTCCTACTCTGTATTGTTGGGATTGCCTTGGGCAATGGCGGTAGGCGCACGTCTGCATTTCGATTCGAAACAATTGGTGCTCACACAAACTGGGGGAGAACCTCAGACTGTTCCTTTGCAGGTTTCCACCCGAACGATAAAACGGGTTCCTAACTCACCCCAAATAGGGATGATCCGATACATTGTTCCCGAGGAATACTCTCCCTCGTGCCTCGGGGACACAATCAGGGAACAAGAACATGACGAAGAGATGCCTAGCGAAGAAGAATGGAAGCATCTGGTTGAACTTTTCGAACATGAAACCCCCGAAGAATTTCAAGTGTGTTCCGACACCGCCCGAAGCTTCCACATAGATTCCGAAGACAGTGCATTCACGCCTCTAACAACCCAGGTCAGTCCTTCAGTCCTCCTCCGGGAACCCATATTACAAGTTTCCGATCTGGCTGATGATTTGGAACCCCCTCGCATATTGTACGAGGGAACTCTCTCCTTACGAACACGTTATCAGCAAACGGAACAGTATTTAGCTGTTTCTGTTTTCCCACCTCGATCGTTACTAACGACAGGAGCCACCGTTGCCTTGATTAAACAAGAAGCGGAAACACCGGTAAATGATGTACCTAATCTGATGCAAGAAATGACGGATCTAACAAGACTAAATGTGGAACCGACCTCAGTTGATTCAGAAACTGACGCTGAAATTAAAAAAACAGAAATAATCATCCTTGCTGAGTCCCAGATGGTAGCAACTGTCTTCTCTGTGTGCACAAGTAGTTCCGTTTTCTCTAGTGTCAATGATCGGCGGGAGCGGCCGGTTGAGTGGATCGATATCCTCCTTAAGATGTCCAGGGAATCAACGATCACCCTCCCGAGTCACGTTCCTACGAAACTACGAAAGTCGTTAATCCGTGTATTAAACGGTTACGCAGATATATTGAGCGTGCACGATAATGACATTGGCCTGACGAATGTGATCGAGCATGCTATTCTCACGGGAGACCACCCACCCATTAGTTGTGTTCCTTACCGATATTCGCCAGCTCAACGAGCGGCCGCTTTTCAGCGGATTAAGGAGTTCGAAGTTAATGGATGGATCGAACCCGCTATAGGACCATGGTCTTTCCCTGTAGTAATCGTACCTAAAAAAGTCAGAGGGATTCGCATTTGCATTGATTACTGAAAATTGAATGATATCACGATCAAAGATGTGTACCGCCTCCCCCGGATTGATGAGTTGTTGGATGCGATTGGGAGTGCTTGATTTTTTAGCAAGTTTGATGTTCGCCATGAGTTCCATCATCTTCTTGTTCGAGAAGAAGATCGTCCGAAAACAGCGTTTGTGCTTTTCGAGGGTACATGGCAGTGGATTCGATGTCCGATGGGTATCTGCAACGCCCCTGCGACTTTCCTGCGGGCCATGAACATGGCTTTTCAGAACTTTGTACGGAAGGCTCGTTTGGCGCAGAGCATCATCAACTACTGTGTGATTGTATACATGGATGACATCTTGGTGTATTCAAGTTCCTACGAGGGACACGTGCAGCACATCGAATGGGCACTGCACGCGTTACGAGATGCAGGTTTTAAGGTGGCGCTCGAGAAGTGTCAGTTTTTCCTCACCACCATTTTCTTCCTGGGGCACGTGGTGACAGACAAGGGACTCCAACCGGAGCCGCAGAAAGTGGCAGCTGTCAGGGACGCGCCTGTGCCTACCACTATCACGCAAGTTCGCGCCTTTCTGGGCCTAGTCTCGTATTACCGAAGATTTATCAAGGGCTTCACGGCGATTGCGGGACCTCTCACAAATCTGTTGCGCAAGGATCAGCCGTTGATCTTGACGCCGGAATGCGATCAAGCGTTTTCCAAACTCAAGGCTGCTCTCGTTTCGGCTCCGGTCCTTATAAGACCGGATCCCGAAAAACCTTTTGTTCTCATCACTGACTGGCAGCCAGAGGTGATTTCAGCGATTCTTGCTCAGGTGGGACCGAGCGGACTCGAGAGTGTGGTGGAGTATGCGTCCAAATTAGTGCCCGCCTGCAAGTGCAATTACGCCGCTCCAACGGGCGAATGCTATGCGGCTCTCTGGGGATCAGTCACTTTCGTGCTTACCTGTACGGGCGAAAATTCACCCTGGTGACTGATCATGAGCCCCTGTTGGCTCTGAAGAAGTCGAAGGATTACTCGGGCATGATCGGGCGATGGGCAACGGTGTTGCAGAGCATGGACTTTGACATTCGCCATCGGAAGCACGAGAGACACGGGAATGCGGACGGACTGACACGACTACACCGGCCTTAGAAAGTTCCGAAGAATGAGGAGGTAATTCCGTGGAACGAACCCGAACCGGAAATTGGACCTCGGTATAGCCAAGTGGAGATCTTATCGAAGCGGTAAGCGGCACGAGGACTAATTATTATGTTCTACCCTCCCTGCATCCTCTCCTCCTCTGACATCATGGCTACTCCACTCGCCTCCGCAACCCCTTCATCTCCTACTAATTTTGCCCCTTTCACGTCCTCCGCTTTCTTTGCCACCCTCCCCGATAAATTCTGTTATTTTTGCACGTGTATTGCACCGGTTTATGGGGTCGACTGTCATCCCTGCGAGACCGGATTTGTCGATTGGGTAGAATGTGTCACGTGTGTCAACCGTGCGCACGGGGCCTGCGTTCGATATCGGACGAGTAGCAAGGAATGGAGGTGCCCCCTGTGTAGAACGAACAAGCTCTCCACGGAGGTTCGATTCGAGGCCGCCCGTACGGACGGTCCTGAATACGACGAAAAATACCGACGGGCGGAAGTCTGGATGGATAAAATTTTATTGGCAAAATTAGCGGGATTATCATTGGGCCATCTCACTAAACACGATAGACGTAGGGCGACCGAGAGATCTCGGGACTATCGATGGATCAACGGTCATTTGGAAAAGCGTAAAACTGCCAGATCGGGTTCGTGGCTGACAGTTCCCCATCCCTTCCAGAGATACGATTGGATCCGATCTGCTCACGAGGAATAGGCCGCTCATTTCGCGATACGTGTCACGGAGGCAATTGTAGACCAGAATCGATAGTTTTGGTCCAATATACGAGGTGATGTCAAATACATTGTCGCTACCTGTCCGGTTTGTGCCGCTGATCGCGCCCCTATACGAGGACCAAACACGATCGTACCAACGGAAGTAGAGCGTCAGTATGGACACAACAGATATTGACGTGCCATTTGACCCAAACCGCTGTGAATTTTCTATCATGTTGGCTTTAATTGACCATTTTTCCAAATACATCGAAGTCTATCCCTGTAAGACCCGAAAGGCCGCAGAAATAGCCACGTACATTGAACGATTCCTCTATACCCATCTAGATACAAAAGAAATTTTAACTGACAATGGGTCGGAATTCAAAGGCGAGGTAGAAGAACTGCTTGCGCGAAGGGGCGTCGCGCTCCGACATACGGCACCCCACGTGTCCCAGTCGAACGGGTTGGCTGAGAATGCCAACCGTATGATTAAAACCGCCCTTCACAGGAACTTAGCGGCACACGACACGCGTCCGTGGCCCGAGATCGTATATCAGATCGTCGGCATCCACCGGGCCACCCCTCACGAGTCTACGGGGTTCACCCCCTTTCAGCTTCGAACTAATAGCCTCCCCTGTGTCGATTATTGGGGTAACTCGAAAATCGCCGAAGCAGGGGGTAGAGACACGCGTGCAGCCCTCAAGGCCAAGGCCAAAAGGTACACCGATTTGATGGAACGGGCCGTCCTAAAGCTAGCCCGAAAAAGGTAAAGGATGACCGAGCTGGCCCACGGTAGACAGGTCCGTAGCTACGAGGCCCAGAACGGAAATGTTGGGCCCCAGTACTAGTACAAATTGGGGGACCTAGTGCAGGTACGTAAATGTGCACGCGACCGGAAACTCGCTCCCAAGTTCTCTAGCTGTTTTCGCGTTGTCGAACTCGTACCCAATGACGCTAACACGGTGCGCATCGCGCCTGAGGCTAGCGCCAGCCATAGCTCCGTCCCCATCGTCAGACCTACCTCCTACCTCCGGCTCCTTCCTCCTTCCAATTTTCCTCCCTCTTCTTCCTCTGAAAGCGAGGAAAACGATAACGATCTAACCCTCTCTCCTCTTTCTCCCTCTTGTCCCTCGTCCTCCTCTCCAACCTCGCCATGAGTTTCATCACGGAGCGGGTTCTCGACGCCTAGCTGCGACAGCCACGTGGCCACATCTTAGTGATCCGGCAAGTTTGTCACCCTCGGCTCAACACGGATCTCCGCCGTTTGATGCGATTCTTCTGCGACGAAGGTATCTGTGCCGCCGCCGCGTTCCGGATAGAAGGAAGCCCTCACGCGATAGTGTTCACGGAGATTACGGCAGTTCATCAGCGAGAAGGTCCCAGAACGAGCCACGTCACCACAGTGGCGGGATTCACATCAGCTCGGTCAATCCGCTGCGGCATACCGCAATCCTGGACTTGCTGCGCGAGTGGACGGAGCAAGTGTCCAACGTGTGGCAGGACGTCCTCGCCCGGGAGGGGTATAACATCATCCCGATCTCTGCATCAAATCTTGACGGCATTCGCCGATCACCGCGCGAGCGGCCAATTGCGATCCCGACCATCGTCCCCTTCCCCCATCCCCAATGAACCACGCTGCTCGTCTCGCTCCTCTCTCTACCTTTGGTCTCCCCTCTCTCTTCCCCACCTTCTGGCAATCCGATCTTCACCCTTCTCTTTCCTTCTCGTTGGAGCCTCTTTCAGTCCCTCGTATCATTCCTGGACACTGGCGATTGTGGCGTGAAACTTTTGAGGAGCTGTCCTTTTGCTTGGCCAGAGTACAGGTGACGTGAACGGGCACTAGCGAGCATCCCACGTGGACCGAGAATCCGGAGTTGCTGATCATACAGGGTTAGAGGACTAACGCGGAAGGAGATCTTATTGGATTCCTCTTTGGATCGGTACGACCGGGTCGCTGTTAGTTGATTGCGCAGGAGCTCATCACACCGATCGTGCAATTGGTGGACGATCTCTCGCCCGACATCTACTTTCAGAGCGACAAGAGTCCTGCTCCGTACATTTTCGAGCGATTCTTGAATCCGTACCTTCAGTGGACTTCGTGCTTGGAGGAACCTAGGGACGAGGATACGCTACCATCGCGGCAGGAGTATCTGAAGTCGTACGAGATCATCCCTTACGCCTTCTACCCGAGGGCAGAGGAAGTGGTGATTGACGACGATGACGAAGAAGAAGAAGACGACGAGGAGGCATCGAAGGAGGGAAGCTATAGTGAACATAGCGAGGGCGAGCTGAGTGAGAAGGAAGAGGAAGGAGGAGGAACCGGGTCCGAGTGGGAAGTCCCGCCGGAAGAAGCGATGCGCACGGGAACGGAAGCGGAAGATCCGGAAGCGGTGAGGAAGCGCGAAGAAATTACCGCCGGGAAGCGCCAGCTGGCCTTCGCTAGCGAGGCTAGCCTGCGCATCGGTAGCAATCCAACCAGGGATCCGGAGCCGTCGAGGCCCGAAGATGGCGACCTTGCAGCCGCCACCTCAAGTACCACACGACGGAGACGGCACCGATCCCCCTCCTCCTCCAGCCCCACCCGTTCCCCAATTCGCCCACGTACCAATGCGGGCGATAGGCCTTCGACCTCGGACGCTGACCCGCCGACCCCTTGATTTTCTCACCCTCGAGCAGATCCGTACCCCCGTCACCTTCCCTTCCCATCCTTTCCATCCCCATCTCTTCCGCGACTTCTATTCTACCCGTCTACTCGCCACCGTCCACCTCCACGCCTCCCTTCAATCCGCTGCCCCCACGTTCTGCTGACACCTCCTGCTGTTCAGCGCTGCCTGGGAGCGATCCAACGTCGTAGAAGTCTACTGCGTTGCCACGGGGACAATCCCCGCCTGTCGCCACTTCGAGATCTTTCGAGCGACGCTTTTTCACACCCTCTATATTCTTTCTATCGCGATTACCTCGCTTCCCTCCCCCGCAGTGGCGATCATTTCCCCCGCTTCCACCGGATCATCCGATATGAGGAGCTCCCGGTGACGATGGAAGGGATGAATCGCTTCCTACTCCCACTCCCCCCCCGTCATCCCCGCGAGATCCCCGGCATGTACCGCCTCTTTCTATTCCAACTAGGCAGTAGATCCCGCTCACTTGAAACCCCCCC